GGCGGGAGCGCCGCCGAGCTTCCCAAGCGGCGCACTATCCAGTGCGCCACCGGGCCGGCCCACTTTTTTATTTTTTACACTTATTTTATAACTGAAAGGTAATTAGCTGCTAATTTCTATTTGGAAAGAAAATTTTAAAACATGACTATCTCTCCATTTTGGACTGTATGACTGGAGAGATGACCTTCTGAAAGCATGATGGCAAATAAATTATCTTACAAAAAATTGGTGATCTGGGCCGGCCCGGTGGCGCACTGCTACAGTGCGCCGCTTGGGAGCGTGGCGGCGCTCCCGCCGAGGGTTCAGATCCCATATACAGACCGGCCGCAACACCGAGGGTTGCGATCCCGTTGCCGGTCCCGGCCCGGTACGGGCGTGACACTGAGGGTTGCGATCCATTGCCAGTCACGAAAAAAGACAAAAAGGAAAAAAAAAAAAAATTGGTGATCAAGACAACTGCTAAATAAGAATAATTTCACAGTTTTTAATCTATTAAACCATACACTATAGATTATTAATCACCTAAGTAAACAACTTATTAGGTACATACGGAATGTTGGAAAGATGCAGAGTGGCTGATGGTGGAAAGATATTCTGGAAGTTTTTAGAGCCAGGTTTTTTAAAACGATGCAAAGGACTATTGCTGAAATCCTTAGTCAGACCTTGGTCTTCTTGTCCCTCTCGAGGAAGTTGAACTGCTTGATGTTTAGACAGGGTCGCACGAAGTACTTTTCCATAAAGTCTCTGACCACTTAGATGGTTCATTGCTAGAATATAGGAAGAAAATAAGGAAAGTTTGGGTATTAAGATAGATTCTCAGTAATATTTATCTAAATCATCATAAATTATTTTTACTTAGTAATTTAAAATTATATTGTCTAGCTGGCCAGTTAGCTCAGTTGGTTAGAGCATGGTACTGATTACATCAAGGTCCGGGGTTCAATGCCTGCACTGGCCAGAAAAAATAAAATAAAATAAAATTATATTGTCAGTTTGAGGGTTAAAAGGATTTGAAATCCAAAAACTCTCAAGAAAATGTATTAAATGACTTCATTTTACCATAATAAAAGCAATTTTTAATAAAATAAATAACAAACCAACCAAACAAAAAATAACTATCTTCCCAGCAAAGTGCTATGAAATTCCAGAGTGCCTGGAACATAAGTGCTCAGGAAATGGTTACTGAATAAATTAGTTTTATCTCAAGCAAAGCATTTTTATAAGAAATCTGAATGGTAATATTTTAATAGACCATAACAGTGAGGCTGTAGAACAACACCTTCTTACACCATGAAAGGTAAATGCTGCCCAAACTTTTAAGGCACTCAACAGTCCTAGAAAACTTAACTTGGAAGGAGAATGAACAAAATAAAACAAAACAAGTCATGTTTATTAGTTTAAACAAGGGGAAAACCCTGGAGTCAAAGCTTTAAACATCAACAATATTTACAAGTAGATAAATGAACTTCTGACTTAAAAGAGTAATGAATATTTTTTAATCTTAAAATGTAAGCAGGTGCAATTAATGATAAAGACATTATCACAAGGAGGTATTCTTCTGTAAAATTATATTCCTACTAGCTATAAGTTTATTTTGAAGGAAAATTCACATAAAAAGGGGGCAGGTTATCATTATTATTATTAATTATTAGTACCTAGCTGAGCTTGATTTGCATCTGCCATCTGAACCAAGGCATTTTCTTTCTTATTAAACATAATCTTCACTCGATGTACATCACCATACACTCCTAATTAAAAACAAAACAAAACACTGTTTTTAATGCCCAATTGTGTAGTGTTTAATTAATTTTACTAATATATTTAAGGAAGGCTTCTTTTTTCATACTATATATTCTCCCTTGGCAATTTCATACATAAACTCCCAAATTTTTATCTCTTCCAAGTTCCAGATCTATTCATCTACCCCCCCTTTTTCACTTGAATGTCCCACAAACACTTCAAATTTAATAGTCCCAAACTCATTCACACCGGCCTTCCCCTCCCTACTTCCAGTGTTCACTAACTCTGTGGATTAATGGTACTGTTACCCACATAGTTGCCCAGTCAGACACCTGGGAGTGATCTGTAGACTCCTCCCTCTCCTTTAACCCTTGTGCCCAATCAATCACGAGCACCTGTTGATTCTATGACCTAAACACCTCTCACATTTGTCCACTTCTCTCCATCTTCACAACCATCAAAGCTATCATCACCATTTTATATTGGGACTACCAGAACAGCCTCCTAACCGATCTCACTACACTCTACTTTTCTATACTACTGTTTCCCAAAGTGAGTCCCAAATTCCAAAGGACAGGCAAAATGACTCATTGGGGTGTCAGAAGAAAATGATCAAGCTCTTATGTATACTGACCTGTTTATACAAACCAATATGGAAACACTACATTTTAAGAATTTTTAACATATGCACGAAAATAGAGGCAGGAGAATCTACAATGTGAATGGCATTCTCTCTCTTTTCCTTCCTTCATTGTACTGCCATATATTGCAGTTTATATGCTACAGGGAATCACTGACATTATAAAAGTAAGATCTTTCAGTAGTAGCATCATTTTCATACTTTGTAATGCAATGAGAGAATAACTATGATAATATTCAAGGCACACAAAGATGTACTGGTTATTTTGTGGGCAAGCACCTAAGGCAAGTGAATGTAGAAACAAACGACATTTTAAAAATTTTAAGCAAAAAGACAAGTATGCCAAATTTGCTGCCCTTTTCAGAAATGACAAGTGGGTGAAGACATTCTTTAAAAACTAAATGCAATTTGTTCTTCAGGGTGAATTTTCTTTAAATGAGTGAGAAACTACTATTAGAAAGAAACATACTATGGCTTAGAGAAGAGTCACATGAAAATGATTTTATTACTGAAAAGTACATAGACGTATAATTAATAAAAATTTTTACTGTGACTGCAAATGAGCATGACGGATTTCTCTGCGGTGATAGAAATGTTCTAAAATTGGACCATGATGATGGCTGCACAACTGTGACATGAAAATGATTTTATTACTGAAAAGTACATAGACGTATAATTAATAAAAATTTTTACTGTGACTGCAAATGAGCATGACTGATTTCTCTGCGGTGATAGAAATGTTCTAAAATTGGACCATGATGATGGCTGCACAACTGTGTAAATTTACTAAAAATCACTGAGTTGTACAACTAAAACAGATGAACAGTATGGTTGTAAATTACACTTCAAAAATGCTGTTAAAAAAACTACTGCCACTCAAAAAAAATTGGAAACAATTTTCTCTTATTTAAAAAATCTTACAAATGAACAGTACCAGTGGGTTTTTACCCCATTTGTTAAACATATTTAGATAAAACAGATTTCAAGATCCACTGATTTACAGGGGAAAAAATGGAACTTTCTAGATAAAATATAAGAAAAATTAGTGGATTAGACTAAAAAAATTAGTAAATTAATGAAGTAACATCAACAATGAGACACTTCCAGTTAGACTGCCTATTTTATGATGTATCTTTTTCAGTTACAACAACCATTAAGATCAAGTACTGTAATATAAATTTTAAAAAAAAATTTTTTTAAAGATCAAATACTATAATAATCAGCCCTTAGAATACCAAATCAAAATGAAAAACAAAGATATTTTTAAAATAATAAAGCATATTAAATCATATTTCTCACTAAATGTAAATATTTTTATGGGAAAAAGGTTTTCTGTCATTAATAAAAATCTTTAAAATACTGAGTACTGCTATTTCATTGCTCTCATATTTCTACACTTCTGTACATTTTATACTTTATATTATAATAAAACTGGGTACAATTTATAAATAATCACATATAAATTAGAAGTACATGCTAATTTTTTTCTTTTACTGAGGAAGGGATCTGTTAGAAAGTGTGGAGACTATTTTTGAAACTTGAATCTTATGCTACTTGCTTGCTTAAAGCTATTCAATGGTTTCCCATTGTTCCTAGGTTAAAACAAAACTCCTTAATATAGCTCACACAGCTCTTCATGACCTTGCCCCTACCCATCTGTGCAGCTTCAAAGTATCTCTCTCTTAGACTCCACTGGGCTTCCTTTACTTCCATGTACCAGGATCTCTCTCTCTCACTCCCTGCTAGTATCTGTGGAAAGACATTTACCTTCCCTTTCTGCCTGGCCGAGTCTTTCTCATTTTCCACAAGTCAGCTTAACTGTCATTCCTATTGATTCTCTCAATTAGATTAGGTCTCCCTGCTTTTTGCTCCCATTAAAACCTTTATTTCCTCTTTTATAAAACTTTATTGTAATTACTTACTAAGTCTTTACTCACTGCTCTATACTCAGTGTCAAACACATTACTCAGCACACATGGAGGTAATCAGTAAGTATTACTAAATGAATGAAATGTGCTCAATTAATATCTGCAGATAATATTAAAAACAGCAAAAATGAACTTACCAAATAGGATAAAAAGCCCATGTGGTGTGATAAGCTGTTTGAAAAGGATAACACAAAATATGAGCATCTGACTAAATAATTTAAGTAAAAACTTTAAATAAGTTTATTTATGATGTAATAATTACAGCTGATTTTGTTTAAAGTATGGATGATATGCTTCTCAATATACTAGTAACAAATTCTAATAAAAATTCTTAAAATAAACAAGTATTTTAATTTGAATACCACCTTAGGTCAGCAGCTACTACACATCCTCCTGAAAAACTATTTTCATGTAATACTTTTCAACTCACATCAGGATTGAGATTGGTGACAAGTAGAACAGAATTTCCTGGTATACCACTAGCTCCAGGAATGGCCATCCTTCCAGTGACAGCAGAGGAGGTGACTGTGAGAGGACCAAGAGCTCCAGGAACAGCTGGGACTGATAGACCTTTTAAAAACATCAAAAGCATTTCATATTCTAGTCGTCTGGAAAATTATAACACTAGATATAACTTAAGTAAATGAAAACAAAAACAAAAATATAGAAAAAAAGGTGTCAGCTTTAAATAAGTAAAAACTATGTTTTTTAACAGAATAGGTGGACTATTCACTTAATTATATGTATCGTTAGATCTATTGAAAATCATCAAAAATCTAAAATTTAAACCTCAACCATATCACTCTTTCCTTTTTAGTTAATTCCATCCTCTTTATCGAAAAAGCAGAATTGGAAGGTTAGGATATAAACATTGTTGCCAGAAAGCAACTACGTTGCAATTTAAGATAGTTACACTCAGGAATCAGCTAGAAGCTGGATACCTAGTATGTAGAAAAGGCTTAACACTATGCCATTCCCCTAATCAACCTCAGTGTTTTCTTTAGGCACCAACCATAAAGCAAAATTTTTTTCTTCTCCTTAAGTTATGATCAAATTCATTTTGTTTACTATTTGGGAAAGAATTGGAGTCATTATCCAAGTATTAATCAACTCTTCTATCCCTTAATTACCTCCAGTAGCTAAAGAGAAAAAATATATCCCCTGAAGTGAATGGCAGGCATACCCTTCTACGGTAATCTTCTGAACCCATTAATGACAAAGGATTTTCTGGAGAAATGTTTATTAATTCAAATATTTACTGACTACACACTATGTGTTGAGTGCTGTCCAAAGGCACTGAAGACACAAAGACACAGACCTGTTCAACCGGTAATCTTCTGAACCCATTAATGACAAAGGATTTTCTGGAGAAATGTTTATTAATTCAAATATTTACTGACTGCACACTATGTGTTGAGTGCTGTCCAAAGGCACTGAAGACACAAAGACACAGACCTGTTCAACACATAATTGATAAGCTTATTAGCAAAGACAGAAGTAGCTCATAAATTTTACAATCAACTAAAAAGGCAAATCTAAGATTATTTAATGTGCTCAGCCTATAGTTATCTGTGCCAATGTAAGGTATAAATGATGCAGAACATATAAGGAATTACTGGAGTTAAGAATGGAACCAGGGAGAATTATTTGTAAATAAAAGGAAGCTGTGCATCATGTGACTCTTGTCTATGGCTGATACACATAATGCTTTCATTGTAAATATGATAACATTTTCCATCTAGATAAGTTCCTAGAAAATACAGAACTTCATTGAAAAATCATGTCGAATTCGACTTTAAAAGAGTCACCTGTAGCTTGAGGAAATCCAATGGCTGGGGCAAATCCAGCAGCCCCCGCATATGGTGAAGAAATTATACCTGGTGCACCTAATGGAGAAGAGAAGCTAAAATAAATATACTACCATCTATAAATATGGTTATCAAAACAATATAAAATGGCTATATGAGAATATATTATTGATAAAAAGATTCTTTTACAGAGTAAAGATCTATTCAAAAGGTGGTCCCTAGTCTACAAGTAAAGAGCCTCTGTCACTTCCATAGGCTAACCCCTTTCAACTGGGTTCAAGGATCAAGAGTACAGCTTAGTTGTCAATTATTTTTAGACTAGGCTGAGATTCTTGCCCTTATTTAGGACAATATTTCTATATGAAAAATCACCACTCATTAAATCTTATTAAATCATTCTGTATCTATGGGTTACCACGCTGATAAAAAGAAATATGAGATAAGATCCATCCCCTTGAGAAGTTTACAAACTAAGTATGAATTGCAAGAGTCATAGCTGAGTGGTATAAATATAAAAGTACTGCAAGTGGACTAAGAAGAAGGGATCACAGAGGATTCATTGTTATTGATTGAAGGTTTCTCTGAAGGTCAAACTTGAGTTAGAGGCTGGCCAGTTAGCTAAGTTGGTTAGAGCTTAGTGTTATAACACCAAGGTCAAGGACTCAGATCCCCATACCAGCCAGTCACCAAAAAGAAAAAAAACAACAAAGAAAACTTCAGTTAGACTTTATGTAACTGAAAAACACAGTGCATACTGTGTACTAGATGCTAAAGAAATGCTGGTCTTCTTCCCTTTCCTTGAAGAAGCCTGGTGGCTGTGCATCATCAGCAAAAATCAAAGTTAGTTTTAATGGAGAAGTCAGTTCTAGTAGAAAAATAATTAATTTGGTATGAGGCATGTCAAGTTTGAGGTGATATTAAGACATTCAAACAGAAATGATAACAAGTAGAAATAAGGGGGGGGGCAAACTCAGACAAAATATTATAAGTAAACACAGATTTGCAAGTCATTTGTGTAGAAATAAATGTGAAAGCAATACAAATGACAACTCCACTAAAAATAGCACAAGAAACAAAGAGCTAGATACTGGGAGTATTAGTACATTTAAGCAGTAAAAAGGAAAAGGAATATCCTACAGAAAACAGAAAGTGAACAGCCTCAGAAATAGGAAAAAGATCAATGAATTATAGTACCTCAGGATATAGAGGAATAGAATATCAAAAGGGGAGAAGATGAGGATCATCAAAAGAGGTCACAGAGAATGAGAAATGAAAAAGGTAAACAACAGTTTTATAGAAATAGGGAAAAGTTAGGTTGCAAAAGTCAAAGGGGAGGGTTTTGTTTTTTTAATGATAGGGAGACAAGCACATTTACAGGCAGAAGTATATAGACTATATTTTCCAGAGGAGATAAAAGCTCATATAATTTTATGCTCTTCATTAAAGAGAATTATTTAACATAATCTGTTAAATACATAACTGTAATTTATTATAATAATTCAAGAAAATATAATCATAAGAGACTGCAGGAATAGAACTGAGAGAACTGAAAGTAAGTGAAAATGAAAAAATAAGAATAACTGACAGAATAATTGATGAAATAAGAGGGGAGTGAAATCCATGCAACAAGTATATACTGAAAGCATACTATGAGCTAACTAAGTATTCTCCTAGTGAGGAATCACTGAACAAAGCAGACAAGAATCTTTGTCCTGCTAAACGTACAAGATCACAGGTAAAATTAATCATTTTTACAACTATATTTAAGGCATAAAGGAATATTTAATAAAAAGACTCCAAGATAGATATGAGAAATTATGGAAATTTATGCTAGAAAATCTAATTAGTTAAACATAGAGATATGATAGAAACTGTATTAGTCTTGCCAAGTATTCACTTGCACCTTCTATATAACTCTGGCCACTTGTGACTTGCAGTGCCTTCTGTGGGAGCAGCATACATTTCTATGCAATTCACAACAGGCTTAATCATGTCATATGTTTTTGTCAAGAAAAAAAGAGAGAAACGACATATGCCACCTCTACACAGAAGCTTTAAGAGGCATTACAGGTTTACACCAGCTCAGTTATTCTTTATTCTCTTTCATAAGAATGACATGTCTCAAATAGGAGTGAGACCTTCAGCCTGGGCCCAAGATCAAAAAGACATGTGAAGGAAGGATGCAATAGTTGATTCACAACTGCTGCAAAGGCATATGAGAGAAATAAATGTTAACTGCTATAAACCACTTATTTGGAGAGTTCAGGGTGGGGGGTAGGAGTGAGACCTTCAGCCTGGGCCCAAGATCAAAAAGACATGTGAAGGAAGGATGCAATAGTTGATTCACAACTGCTGCAAAGGTATATGAGAGAAATAAATGTTAACTGCTATAAACCACTTATTTGGAGAGTTCAGGGTGGGGGGGAAGGAAAGAAAGAAGTAGTTTTTAAACACAGCAAAGTGACTAATACAGATGGCTATGGTGGCAGGGGGGGAGTAGGTTTTAGAGAAATGAAATACATTTTTGAGATAACTATCACAAAGCATTCAATAGAGATAAATAAAAGAAATAGCAAACAATTATCAAGGCTAAATTTTAAATAATCATTTCCATGTAAGACATGATTAATAAGAACATTGGTTAAAATTGGACAATAGAATTGTTTTAAAAGTTTCTATAAATCTACACTTCTCAAATGAGCAGAAATAGAAACATTTTAGCAAAGTAAACTGTTAGACAGTGAGTTAGTATCTTTATTTTATGAAGAAATTATACAAACCTCTAAAAAAAAAGGTTTAAGATTTGAATGACTAAGAATAGATATTTTACATTTGGAAAATGTACCACCATGATAGCAATCAGAAGAATACAAATTAATAGATAAGGAACATTTTTACCTATGAAATCAGTTTATCACAGTGTTATTTAAAATAGGAAAATCTTAAAGAAACTAGCTTAATGTCCAAATTAGAGAATGAATCGATAAATTGTGGTGAGACTCTAGTCAAAATATGAAGCCATGATATTAAAGAGTATGCACTATGAAAAATATAGCACAATTATAATTGTTCCAAAAAATTTGGATATAGTAGTTGAGTAGATAATATAGACTAACCTTACTGTAGAAAATGCCCAATGAAAGAGTATAAAAACCTAAAAGTTGATAGGATGATAAATAACCAGGCAAAAAGTCTAACCATCTGAAAATGAGCTATGGTTTGGTCAGCTTCATGGTGCAGTAGGCCAGGGGCAAATCACAGGGTTAACCGAAAGAGGGAAGTCAACAGGATACTCTCACGGCAAGGATCTATTAGTATAAGCCTAAATTAAACTACCCAATCGGCCAACTCCTCCCACCCTAAGAAGACTACAAGAGAAGTTTCCTTTGTATCTAGCAGACAAGGGAGAAAAGTCCCCGAAAAGTTCTAACCAAAAGGAAGCTCTCAAGCAAATTTGCAGCCCAAACTCACATTTCTTGGGAGCCCAAAGGAAAATTAATCAAGCTCTGAATTTAGGTTGAAATGATCACAAATGTAGAGCCTTTATTGTTGCAGACACATATATTCTCTTTGGAAAAACATACACCTTGATCCTAAGCCTCAAAGACCTCTCACAATTAATTCTCCAAGTAAAATGAGTAACTCATCCAAAAAAAAAGGGGGGGGGGCAGGCAGAAATATCTAAGCAGAACAACTGCAAAGATTTCTTCACTGAAATTAGCAGATAAAGATTTAAATAGCACATATGAAGAAATTTTTTAAATGCCAAACATACCCGTAGGGCAGGCAACACTTTTTAAAAAAAGAACCGAATAAAATTTCTAGAGATAAAAAACACAATTGTTGAAATTAAAAATTACTAAACAGACTTAACAAAAGATTAAACGAAGTTGAAGAAACCATTAGTGAACTGAAAGTTAGGGCCTAAGAAATTACTCAGAGACAAAGAAATGGAAAATATGAAAGAAAGTTTGAGATGCTGAGGATAGAATGAAAGTGTACAAAGTTCCAGAAAGAAGAGAAATGGTGGGAAGGGGAAATATATGAAAGGATAATTTCTAGAACCAATAAAAGATACCAGTCCATCAAATCAAGAAGCCCAAAGAGCTCTAATCAGAACAAATAAAAATAAATCTTTAAATAGATATATCATACTAAAACTGTAGGATACCAAAGGTGAGGAAAATACTAAAGAACAGCTAGAAAAAAAGAGCAGTAGTTAGGTTGACAGCTGACTTTCTAAGAGCAACGTGAAAACCAGAATACCATGGAAAGACATCTTAAACATACTTAAAGAAAAGTATCTGTCAACCTAGAACTCTATACTCAGGAAAAATACCTTTTAAAACAAATTAGACACATTTGTGGAGAAATAAAAATGCCAAATATATTATCATGGACCTTCCCTAAGTGAAATACTAAAGGATATCCTTCAGGCAGAACGTAAGTATTCCCAGATGGCATGTCTAAATTGCAAGAAGGAATAAAAAAACTAAAGATTTATATATTGTTTAATCTAAATGAATATTGATTGTATAAAACAATACAGTAGTCCCCTCTTATCAGTGAGGAATACGTTCCAAGACCCTCAGGGGATGCCTGAAACCACAGATAGTACCAAATCCAGTATAAACTGTGTTCTTTCCTATACATACATAACTGTAATAAAGTTTAATTTATAAATTAGGCACAGTAAGAGATTAACAGAAATAAATAATAAAATATAATAAAAGTTATGTGAATGTGGTTTCTCTGTTTCTCTAAATACTGTAATATTTCAGAATGTTGTTGACTATGGGTAACTGAAACTGCAGATAGCAAAACTATACTAATTGCAAGGTTACAATCAAGTAATTTAAAAATATAATAACAACATCGTGAGTCTTAGAAGGAGGTCAAAGGAGTTAGTGTCCTAAAATTCCCAAATTACTTAAGAAAAAGGTACAGCTATCTATTAAGATTTTTGGTAAAGTAAGTATAAAAATTAAAAATCCTAGAATAGAAAAGAAACAGTGTTAAACTTCACAACCAGTGGCAGAAAAACAGAGTAATAATAATTAAATATTATTAACAAATAT